AGGTTGGTTCATACAGATGGCGACCACCATGGCGTCTACCACGAGGTGGCCATGAGTGGTCCATGCACTAACAATTAAAAGACTAAGTCAAGTCTAGTTTGAAGGCATGACGCTCGCCATGAGAGTGTGGCGGTCGCCACACGTTATAAACACTAAGCAATTACAAAAGGGGTTCTCTTGGTCTCCAAGTCTCATTTTTCTCTCCTTAAAAGTCGCCCACGAATTCCAGCAGCTGCATCATGACTTTAGGATTCCTAGTTTTCTATAAATAGGCCTCTTAGTTAACTTGTGAAGGCATCCAAGCTTAGTGCAACACTTAAGTCATATACTCACCATTTGTAAGCTTTAACTCTTCACACTAAAGGGTTATTGCATTGTTGATTGAGTCTGTATCAAGCTTGGAGCAACCCATGTACAAGTTCTATTTCTCGCCGTTACTTTATCATTTTGAAGATTATATGCTTTTATTTGATGTTTGTTTTTGTACCAGAGTAAAGTCTCCTCGGAGCAGGTTTTTATTAAATTACTTTATTTAATTTCGTTGCCTTTATTTAATTTCCCATTCATCTTCTACTTTCACTTAAACCATACCTTTTAATTACGTTCACCATGTTATATTCTGTTATTAAATTAATCACATTTGTCTACGTTATTATGTTAAGCTAATTTTATTGGTGTTGGGATGTGAGGACTTTAATTAAACGTACCTTTATCGTTCTTGTAGAATTACCTTTGGGGATGTTTTGGTTTTTAAACAATTTTACTAAGTATTATTTTAATCTGTCCCTACGAAAATGGGACAGTGAAAACATCGAGCAAGATCAAAAGTCGTCCAGTACAAACAATTTAAATTATTAAGTTCTTAGTTATTGAATTCAGCAAAAAAATTTTATTAATTAACCAGGGAGGTCTAAGGTTTCCAGTAAATTGGTTTTAAAACTATTCACGAACGCTCACGTTTATAGGTTTAGGATCCGGTACTTAAGCGAAGGCTTAAGAACCCTTTTTAATTAATGTTTCCAATAAAAAATCACTTTTCTATTTAGTAGAGAGTGTGATTTCTTAAAAATAGGCTTACTATTTTAACGCATTAAGCGCCTACCATAAGTGAAGATGGAAGGTATAAAATTAAATTAAGTTTTTTTTTATATAAAAACAAAAACATAGGTATCACTATTTATCCATTAAAAGAACATATATGCAAACTATCAATAATACCTCACATTTTAAATTTTTTAATACTCACAAAATGATAAAATAGTAAAAACGTAATCCCTCAATTAATTCACCTTACTTCAACCAAATATTATCAAGTGTCAAGTTTTTTTTTTATACTTTTTCAACTTTCATTTTTCTATCCACTTCTCACTGTTTCCTACACTTTTTCACTTTCACTTTTAATTTTCTCTCTCTCCATTTTCTCTTTCTCTTTTTATTTTTCTAAGCATAAATGAATAAATAAATTTAACATTTTTAATTGAATGAAGAGTGACGCATAAAAATTGAATCAATCGAAAACATAATTATTTTATGATTATTAAAAAATCATCCATAATTATTAAAAAAATTACTTTTAAATATCAAATTTTTTATTTTTTTCATGGATCACTATTAGCAAAATATCTATTTTATTTTAATTAATAATTATTTTTATTTTAGACACATAATTCTTATTTTAAAATGTTAAAAATTTTATTTTTCTTATGGGTCACTATCAACAAAGTACCTATTTTATTTTAACTAATGATTGTCTTTATTTGAGATTTAGAATTCTTATTTTTAAATGTCAAAATTTTCTATTTTTTTTTTCACGGGTCACTATTAACAAAATATATCTATTTCATTTTAATTAACAATTATTTTTAGTTGAGACATAAAATTCTTATTTTTAAATGTCAAAATGTTAATTTTTCTCGCGGGCCATTATGAACAAAATATATATTTTATTTTAATTAACAATTGTCTTTATTTGAGATATAAAATTCTTATTTTCAAATGTTAAAATTTTTATTTTTTTTCACGGACCACTATCAGCAATATATTTATTTTTTATTAACGATTGTATTTATTTGAGGTACAAAATTCTTATTTTCAAAAATCAAAATTGAATTTATATTATTATTATTTATTTTATAATTAATAACTTATTTTAAATTTACATATATATTTAAATTAAATATATATGGGATCAAATAAATTTAGACCTGCGGAGGCACGCATAGCACTAAAAGTTATATAAATAGAGAGAGACACATATAGATTTAACATAAAAATAAATAAAAATTATAACATTGAATCGCACATCACCTTTTGAAAAAAAAATGAGATGTGATAAAACTTGTCAAACGCAAGGTTGAAAAGAATTTAGCAATGGATGCAAAAAGTAAGAGCTTAGAATCATCACTTACAGTTCCAAGTGTTCAAGAATTATCACTTCAAAATCCACAAAAAGTGCCAAAAAGATACTTAAGAGACGATGGTGATGATGATTTCTGCGCTTTTCCTTCTTCTGATCCATCTCTTGCAATACCCTTGATTGATAAAGCAAAGTTGGTCAACACAGATACACAACAAGATGAACTTCATAAGCTTCACCTTGCTTGTAAACACTGGGGTGTTTTTCAGGTACTGCTAATTAACAACTAATCCATTTTCTGTTAGAGGACATTTTATTTTGTTCCATTTTTACCGGTTCTTGTAATTTTCATGCAGATGGTAAATCATGGAGTTTCATCTGTTAATAATATGGGGAATGAAGTAAAGAGATTTTTTGAACTTCCTTTACAAGAGAAAAAAAGATGGGCACAGAAACCTGGAAGTCTTGAAGGGTATGGTCAAGCATTTGTTACATCTGAAGAACAAAAGCTTGATTGGAATGACATGATCTTCCTCAAATCTTTACCTATGCAAAACAGAAAATTGGATTTGTGGCCTCAAAATCCTCTTCAGTTCAGGTATATGCATTATATTATTGAATGTCTGAACTGAACTGAGCAACAACTGTATAATGTATGTGTACAGCTCGTCTCAAATTTTTGGAATCGTGTAGGTTAGTCCTAGTTTATCGGTGGCATTGTTAAAGAGTCTCACAGAAAATATATGGTCTAATCATGTGTTTATAAATGGAGGTAATCCTCACCTAACAAGCCGGTTTTATAAGGTTGACTTAGGTGGTTAGGCCCAACCACACATTCTTAAGACGCATAATAAATATAATAAATAGAGATCAATTTAACCATGACAATGTTTTATGAGGTCCTATTTAGACACGGTTTTTAACCATAACAATGTTTTACGAGGTTCTTCCTATTTAGACACGGTTTTTAACCATGATAAATTTTAGACTCTTTGTGATAGTCCTTCTTACACGTACATGCCCTATGTGTAGTACTTTAACTTCATATTAAAAGTCTGTCCGGTGTTTGACAGGTGCGGGACACGAACAAGTGTATTTGTATTCGACCACTTCCTATGTAGCACCAATATGAATCAGGTGTCCATCAAGTGTGATGCTTGATAAGTGTCGGCCTTTGACACCGACACTTGTGGATATGGTTATTAGTGTCAGCGTGCCAATGTCATATTCGGTATTCATGACCGTGTCACTCCGTCATAGATTACTCATGTCGTCTCAAACTACTACCATTGTCTACGTGTCACTGTTGTGTTTCATGTCCTTATCCAAGTTAGTTAGTTATTTATTGAGTGACACTATTTCTTGGTGTTATCCAAATTAGTTAGTTAGTTATTGAGTGTCACTATCATCTAAGTCAGTTAGTTATTTATTGACTGACACTATTTATGTTCTATAAAATATTTTGCCTTTGCTTTCTTTACAACTCTCTTTCTCATAACATAACATAACAAGCTTATATCATCTTTGTTTTAAGCAAGAGATTCCATTGCAATATATTATCAGGGAAACATTAGAAAAATATTCTGAAGATATAAAGGAGGAAGCAATATCAATAGTGAGTTTCATTACATTGGCTTTAGGACTCGAGGATACAAAGATATCAGAAAGTTTTCATGAAGGACTATATGATATAAGGATGAATTGCTATCCACCTTGTCCAGAGCCTGAAAGAGTTCTTGGGATCATTCCTCATGCCGACAATTCTGCAATCACTCTTTTGGTTGATTTTGGTGATTTTCCAGGACTGCAGTTTCTCAAAGATGGAAAATGGGTCAGTGTTGAACCAATAGAAGGAGCCATTGTTGCTAACATTGGCCATATAATTGAGGTTTGTATATTTTTGGACTCATAAGCCTTCAAATTATTCCTCAAATAGTGATTCATTGCAAGTTTGTAAATGCATGTTCTTCAATTATGCAGGTTATGACAAATGGGATATACAAAGCACCAGAGCATCGAGCCGTTGTGAATAAGGAGAAGGAAAGATTGTCAATAGTGACATTCTGCTATCCAAGTCCTTCTATAGATATTGGTCCTGCTGACAAGCTAATTGGTGAAGATAACCAACAGGTATACAAGAACATGACAAATGCAGAATACTTCAACAGGTTTTTCAATAGGAAGCTCTATGAATCCTTTATTGATAGTCTGAGATTGTGATGATAAATGAGGTTTTTAAGGATGACTTGTTTTGATTACATTGCAATATGACAAAATTTTAATCTAATGTATTTGGATGTTTTAACTTAATCTGCCTGGAATTATACACTTCAAAGTCATAGCTGACGAAAAATTCTTCCAGGTGTCAAGTTCACATGCATTAGCTTACATTTTGAGAAAATATGGTATTTCAATGCAGATAGGTTAGTTAACCAACAATATGGTTCTAAGTAAGTTTTGTTTTATGGGATACTACTGTATAGGTAAGAAGTTGAACTAACAATACTTATACGTTCACAATTTCTTCTATAAAAACCATACATGTAACACATGCAGAATATCAAAATCATTAGCATTGCAAAGAACTCCAACTACTATACTATATATCCCTGAAGTTCATCTCATTAGTTAGATCAGATTAACCATGGCTTTCATTAGTTTGTCAAAAATCATTTTTTCATTTATGATTCTAGCTATTTTGTTAGCAAAAGGTAGTATAATGATTGTCGAGGCACGCAAACTTCTAGAATCAGACCCGCCTCAGCTCCCAAAATTTGATTTGCCACCTCTACCAAATCCCGAGTCTTCTAAGCTTTCTGAACTACCTAAGTCAGAAATTCCTAAAGCACCTGAGTTACTAAAACCCGAGCTGCCTAAGTTTCCTGAATTACCTAAGTCAGAAATTCCTAAAATATTTGAGTTACCAAAACCCGAGCTGCCTAAGGTTCCTGAATTACCTAAGGCAGAAATTCCTAAAATATCTGAGTTACCAAAACCCGAGATTTCTAAGATTCCTGAATTACCTAAGGCAGAAATTCCTAAAGTATCTGAATTACCAAAACCCGAGCTGCCTAAGGTTCCTGAATTACCTAAGCCAGGAATTTCTAAAGTACCTGATTTACCAAAGCCTGAGCTGCCTAAGGTTCCTGAATTACCTAAGTCAGAAATTCCTAAGGTACCTGAGTTACCAAAACCTGAACTACCTAAGATTTCTAAATTACCTAAGGCAGACATTCCTAAAATACCCGAGTTACCAAAGCCCGAGTTGCCTAAAGTTCCTGAATTATCTAAGCCAGAAATTCCTAATGTACCTAAATTGCCAAAGCCAGAGTTTAATGTTCCTGAATTGGAAAAATCCGAACTACCTAAAATTTCCGATTTGCCGAAGCCTGACCTACCTAAAATTGATGTTCCAAAACTACCCAAACCCGAACAGCCTAAACTACCTGAATTACCAAAGTCTGAACTACCTAAAGTTAATGTACCTGAATTGCCAAAAATCAAACTACCTAAAATTCCAGAATTGGCTAAAATTTCTGAAATTCCTAAACCACAACTACCCAAAGTCAATATTCCATAACTACCCAAACCTGAGCTACCCAAATTCCCAGAAATGCCTAAAGTTGTTCCAACCACTACTCCATAAGTTTGAATTTTTACATTTGTATTGGCTTAAATCATTTATAGTTTTCTACTATACGTTGTTTAACTCATGCTGTATGATGGGTGTTATATAATTTATAATTCAGTCTTATATGTATAGACTACTGGAGTGATTGTTATGGTTCAATTTGGACCTTATTAGATTACATATTACTTTTAGTTTGAGCTTGTTTAAATTGATTGTATTACCGCTTATTGATGGTCATATTTATATGTGTTGTTGAATTTAATAAGACTGTACTTTGAGTGAAGAAATTTCCAGGATTTTCAAATTCTAACATTGTTTAAGCTGATATTTTAATTTTTTTATTCATTTAATTTAAAACACAATCTCAGAAAAAATTTGGTGGTTGGTTTGAATCACATAATATGAACACCAATAAGAGATTTAAAAAGGAAATGTTAAAGTGCAAACATAGTATGGTATAAAAGAAAGAACGCTTTAGCTTTTTCCATAGTTAAAAACCAGCCCATCTAACAGGTTGAGAATTTGACTTGCTCTCAAAACCTTCTGCATCACCAAAAACATGAGCTTTACTCGCTTCACCATGTCTTGGCATCTCTAGGTTACCACTACCAGCACGAGCAGCACTAAATGTATCTGTACCAAAACTCCAAGAATCAAAATTAGAAGCTGGTTGAGTGACCTGCTTGATCTGCCGACTATCTCTTGACTTATCAGATTTAGAAGCATGGTCTGCTGAAAGGGACTTTATCGGTTAAGTTACTCAAATTTTCTAAGAGCATCCATGTTAATCATACTCACTCAACTATTTTTTTTCAAATATTCATACATTCTATTAAAAATTTTAAAATGGATTCCACCAAATCTCCCACTATTCCTCATATTTATATTACCATAAATATAATTGAAATGATTTAGTTCAAATATATAAAAATATGTTATATATAAACACAATACATGACACAAATAATTTATTAAAAATATATTAAAAAAACATAAACGTTAAAATAACTTACTAACACAAAATACAAGAAAACGATATATTGATTTAAAATATTTTTAATTATTGTTATTCTCCTACTAATAACTATGGGAGGTAATAGGAAAAAATTGTTGTGTTTTATTTCTCAACCGCATGCGGGTTTATAAGCGGGGATAAAATAAATTACAATTAATTTTCCTTAACGGAGGATAAAGGAAAATAAACGGAAATAAACAAAAGCAACAAAATAGAAAAATAAAATATTTTTCAACGACACCCTTAAAATGGTGCATAGATATCTATCATGCTTAGCTTGTCTATTAAATGCTCAAAAGTAGGTCTGGTCAAACTTTTGATCAGGATATCTGCAATTTCTTGACTTGAAGTTAAGAAAGGTAGTATATGATTCTAGCATCTAACTTCTCCTTTATGAAGTGTCATCAATCTCAATATGTTTGGTTCTATCATGTGAAACTGAGTTATGAGCTATGCTAATAGCAGTTTTACTGTCAGAGTATAATTTCAATAGAAGCTCAATTTTCATCTTTAATTCTTCTAGAACTCTAAGATCCATAATAATTTCCAAATACCTTGAGACATAACTCTAACTCGACTTTGCACTACTTCTTGTCATAACTCGTTGTTTCTTTCTCCCCCATATCACAATATTATCCTAGACATTAGTACAATATCCAGAGGTTGATCTTTTATCTGTGACTGAACCTGCCGAATCAACATCCATAAAGATAGGCATGTGTCTTTCACTAGAATCCTTATGTTTATGAACGAAAAACAATGGACTTGGCCTAGATGGTTGGGTCATGTTAGCATGAGAAGAATCTCTAACCTCAATAAGCTTAACTTAGTTAGAGGTCTTCCAAATCTAAAGTTTTCTTTAGATGCTCTTTGTGAGGCATGTGAGAAAGACAAGTGTTCTAAAACTTCTTTTAAAGGTAAGAATATTATTTCCACCTCTAAGCATTTGGAACTCTTGTATATTGATATGTTTAGACCAGTTAAAACAACTTTAATAATGGACAAAAAGTATGGATTAGTCATTATAGATTACTACAATAGATGTACAAGGGTAATATTCTTAAGACACAAGGATGTGTCACATTCCGTGTTTACTACCTTCTTTTCACAAGTGCAAAACGAAAAGGGCTTAACAATCGTTAAAGTATGAAGTGATCATGACGGTGAATTTAAAAGTAAAAATTTTGAAAAACTTTTTGAAGATATTGACTAAGGGTGTTTGCGGATTAGGTTGCGTCTAATTTAATTAAATCTAATACCTGATCTGATCAATATTCTTTGGGTTGGGTTGAGTGTTCAACATATATTTTTAAAACTAAATCCGAATCAAACCAACCCGCTCATCAATGGGTTGGGTTAGATTGGGTTCGTGGATCATCCACTAAATATAATTTTCAAATTCTAAATAACTATCTGTTAGGTTTTTTGTATTGTGATTGACAACGTTTTGTTGAAACAAGTGAAATAGAAAGATGTTGGACAAGACGTTTTGACAAGCTTGTACGACATCATGGTGTGTTGTGGTTTTACATTCTTGGAAGATTTTTTTTAGCATGAGATTTTAAAGATACGTTCAAGATTTGATTCACGCATTATGAGGTCCAATAAGTGTTTGTTTTAGAAGCGTAATGGACAATTCCAGATTTGTCGTGTTTCCTAAGAATGGGTGGAAAAACATTTAAGGAAACATTTGATTTTGTTCCAAAAATTATGCAGAACTTTGTGCAACAGTCTGTTTTGGATCTGTTGTGTGTTTGTTTGTGTAGCTCGAAGCCCATGCTATTCTGAGGCTATTTAAAGGACGACTCGAAACCTAAGAAGATGGCATCCTTATTGTGTGAGAGAGTTTTTTTAGGGTTTAGTTTGTTCATTCTTATTTGTGAGCCACTCTCGTATCACTTAGATGCTTGAGCTAGACTGAGCCTTTGAGTTGTAATTATGAACCACTCATAAGCTTTTAAGCAAAAGTGGATTTAGTTTATTGAAGTGTGTCTCCTTTTTGATTGTTTTTGTTGTCATCATTATTGTGTGATTGAGGGGGAATGAAATGAGTCTCATATCTAGGAGAGTCTTAGATAGAAATTCCATGGGTAGTGATTAGGTCCCAAGTTTGTAAAACCAGAGGTTGTTTAGAACTTTAAACTAATACTATTATAGTGAATTTACTTCCTGGCTTGGATGCCCCTAGATGTAGGTGACATTGCACCGAACTGGGTTAACAATTAATCTGTGTTATTTACTTCCAGCGTGTTGTTTAAAATTTTCATTATTTTACTATGTTCTTAAAATGTCTTGACTTTGCTTTCAACACCCTGTTGTTCTGACATCATATACAACATCTGTATTCTTGTGCTAGAATTTCAATTGGTATTGGAGCAGGCACCCTATTCTGTTTTGGGTGAGCTCTAGGGAGATATTTTATAGTACTATGGACAATGAATGAGGATTTATCAACATAACACCTATTCTGGATGACACTAACTATGATTACTAGAAGGCGTGTATGGTGGCTTTTCTAAAATCTATGGATAGAAAATCCTGGAAGGAAGTTATTAAAGGTTGGTAACATCCTGTGGTGCAGGATAAAGATACGAAGGACACAACTAATTTGAAGCCTAAAGAGGACTGGTCTAAGAAAAAAGATGAACATGTTTTCGAAAACTCCAAAGCCTTGAATGCCTTATTCAATGGAGTTGACAAAATATATATTCAGTTTAATAAGCACTTGTACTGTGGCCAAAGATGCATGGGAAATCCTCAGAACTACTCATGAAGGCACATCAAAACTAAAAATGTCAAGACTTCAACTTCTCACCACCAAATTTGAGAATCGCAGTTTGAAAGGTGATGAGTGTATTCATGATTTTCACATGAATATTCTTGATATTGCCAATTCATCTAGTGCCTTGGGAAAGTAGATGTCAGAGGAGAAGCTCGTTAGAAAAAACCTCAGGTATTTTCCTAAGAAGTTTGACATGAAGGTCACAACTATTAAAGAAGCACAAGACATCTGCAACATGAAATTGGAGAAGCTTATTGGGTCACTTCAGACTTTTGAATTGGCTATCAATGATAGATCTGAAAAGAAGAACAAAAGCATAACTTTTATCTCCAACACTAATGATGAAGAGTTTCAATGTGACATGGAGACTGATGAAGGAATTTCCAATGCTATTGTGCTTCTTGGGAGGCAATTCAATAAGATGTTGAAGAAAATAGATTGGAAGACAATACCAAATGTCAAGAACATGTCATTTGACATTAGTAAGAACAATGATTATCAGAGTAAAGCAAGAATTGAGGAGAAGCCAAATCAAGGAAAATGTATTCAGTGTCATGAATGTGAGGGTTTTGGTCACATTAGATCAGAATGTCCCACGTACCTCAAGAAACAAATGAAGGGCTTGTCGATTTCTTGGTCCAATGATTCTGATAGTGAACCTGATGATGAATCTGCTAAGCATATTACAACCCTCATTGGCAGATATGAATTTGATGAGGATTCATGTGATGAGGATGTCTCTTATGAATAATTGGTTATTTCATATAGAGAGCTTTGTGTCAAAAGTGAAGAGGTGTGTAAGATAGAAGAAAAGTAGAAGACAATCATAACTCAACTGCAGGATGAAAAAGAGAATCTTGTATCTACTATCTCTGGTCTTCAAGATGAGGTAACCATATTAAAATCTAAACTTGAAAACATGAACAAATCAATAAGAATGTTGAACAATGGGTCTGATATGTTAGATGAAATTCTTCAAGTTGGAAAAGGGTCTGGAAACTTAAAATACATAGGTTTCTATTACCAATCTCTGAAAGGAAAAATCCATGTGACAAAATTTATTCTTGCAGAAAGGAAGTATGAGCCCATGATGTTCGACCAAATGTTGTAACATCCTACCAGACATCAGGAAAGTCAAACTGAAGTCAAGTT